TGCATGGCCGTTCTTAGTTGGTGGAGTGATTTGTCTGGTTAATTCCGATAACGAACGAGACCTTAACCTGCTAAATAGTTACGCGAATTTTTTATTCGTGGCTAACTTCTTAGAGGGACTATAGATTTTTAATCTATGGAAGTTTGAGGCAATAACAGGTCTGTGATGCCCTTAGATGTTCTGGGCCGCACGCGCGCTACACTGATGAAGTCAACGAGTTTCATCCTTGATCGGAAGGTCCGGGTAATCTTTTGAAACTTCATCGTGCTGGGGATAGTCCCTTGCAATTTTTGGACTTTAACGAGGAATTCCTAGTAAGCGTGAGTCATCAACTCGCGTTGATTACGTCCCTGCCCTTTGTACACACCGCCCGTCGCTACTACCGATTGAATGGCTTAGTGAATCCTTCGGATTGGCTTTCTTTTCTGGCAACAGAATTTGATCGCTGAAAAGTTGGGCAAACTTGGTCATTTAGAGGAAGTAAAAGTCGTAACAAGGTTTCCGTAGGTGAACCTGCGGAAGGATCATTAAAAAATGAGACCTCTTGAAGGTCTATTAATAATCCTACCCTTTGTGAATTTGTTGTTTGAAATAATTTTTTTCCAAAAAAATTATTGAATGTCTTTCCCTGCTTGGTGGAGCTTGTAAAAGTGAAGCCATCAGGGGAATGGCAAACAATAATTATTTTGAAAAAGACCTTTTTTAAAATTAAACTTTTGTATTCATTTGTCTAAAATTATTTTTATAATATAAAAACAACTTTTGACAATGGATCTCTTGGTTCTCGCAACGATGAAGAACGCAGCAAAATGCGATAAGTAGTGTGAATTGCAGAATACGTGAATCATCGAATCTTCGAACGCATATTGCACTTTTTTAGTTTACTAAAAAAGTATGTCTGTTTGAGTATCAGTAAAATATTCTCATAAAAACATTGTTTTTTATGGTTATGAGTGTTTTACAACGATAAACAAGTTGTTTCACTTTAAATTCTTTGTCATCAAAAAAATCATTAAAAGCTAATTTTAAAGATTTTTTAAAATTGGATAAAATTTTCCCGTAAAAAGGAATAACCTAAACAATTTTAAAAAATTAAAATTGGTTTGATTTTTCTGATAAAAAAAGGAAAAAGTAAAAATTAACTTGATCTCAAATCAGATAAGAGTACCCGCTGAACTTAAGCATATCAATAAGCGGAGGAAAAGAAACTAACTAGGATTCCCTCAGTAACGGCGAGTGAAGCGGGAAGAGCTCAAATTTGAAATCTTCAAGGTTCTACCTTGACGAATTGTAGTTTAAAGAAGTGTTTTCTGTTGGAGTTTTGGTAAAAGTTCTTTGGAATAGGACATCATAGAGGGTGAGAATCCCGTATTTGACCATTATTTCCAGCTTTGTGATACACTTTCAAAGAGTCGGATTGTTTGGGAATGCAGTCCAAAATGGGTGGTAAATTTCATCTAAAGCTAAATACTGGCGAGAGACCGATAGCGAACAAGTACCGTGAGGGAAAGATGAAAAGAACTTTGAAAAGAGAGTTAAACAGTACGTGAAATTGTCAAAAGGGAAGCGTTTGACACCAGTGTTGTTTTCTCGAAAATCAATTAAAAAAGGCAGGATTTTGTGTTGTATTGACTTTATCAGCTTTCTGCACTCTTTTCTTGTCTTTTTTAATGCACTTTTCGTTTAACAAGTCAACATCAATTTCTTTTGTTGTAAAAGGGTCATTGGAAGGTGGCTTTCTTTTCGGAGAAAGTGTTTATAGCCTTTGGCCTCTGCAATCGGAGAGATTGAGGTCTGCAGCGTAGATCCTTCGGGGTTAGATACATTTGTGCTAAGTTATAGCCTTTCATAGACAACTTGTTGACTATGATCAGTCATGTAGCTTACTCGCTTATGCTATTTTACCTACGCTTAGGATGTTGACAAAATGGTTTTAAACGACCCGTCTTGAAACACGGACCAAGGAGTCTAACAAATATGCGAGTATTTGAGTGGAAAACTCATATGCGTAATGAAAGTGATTTTGGTGGGATTTTCGATGCACCATCAACCGGTCAGGATTTTTTATGAAGGATCTGAGTCTAAGCATATTTGTTGGGACCCGAAAGATGGTGAACTATGCCTGAATAGGGTGAAGTCAGAGGAAACTCTGATGGAGGCTCGTAGCGGTTCTGACGTGCAAATCGATCGTCAAATTTGGGTATAGGGGCGAAAGACTAATCGAACCATCTAGTAG